GTCATTAACCTTCGCGATCCACTTAGCCAGTGAACGCACCCGTTCTTCACGGCTCCACTGTTTTCGAGATTTCTTCCCCGCGCTGTTTCACCAACATTTCCTTGCCATTGTACCCTCGTTTAATAAAATAGCCTCTATCTCTTTTGGCCGTTCGTCTATTATCAAATGTTCGAACGTTAGGAAAGTGGAATCGAGGATCAATTTTCGAGATTGGAAGGTGAAACTGAAAATTCGTTTGGAAAAAAATTGTTCGCTCTTTTCACAAAGGATCACTCAATCAACAGGATTTCTTTTTATTAATATTAATATTATCAAAGAAATATTATAAATTATTAAACGATAAATTCTAGTAGTATTATATATAGTGATAAATTTGGTAATATGTAAGTTGATATAAGTTTGGTTACAGTGATAAGTATAGCATTATAATGATAAGTAATTAATTAATTTTAGAATAAATTTTGTGAATCACTGTGTGAAAGAATAGTGCCTTGTTTCCGTAAACTGGTAAATTAAAAATTAAAAGGATTGAAATAAAATTGGCAAATACATACATAATGTTAATAAATTATCGTAAGAATTGAATTAAAATTATTAACCAAAATTTACCACCGCTGTTCTGTTAATTAAAATCTGTCACAAATTCAATTAACTTTTCAGAATTAATCAGCAATTACCAATTCAAGTTTTTATTTACCATCTAAATGGATCTAACAACAAACGTGTCGAATATTTGTTCAAAATAAAATATTAAAATTCAAAACAAAAAAGAAATTAAAAAAAAGAATTGTAAAATTTCATCTTGTTCGAAACAAAATATTTTTAATATTTTATTAAAAAAAAAGAAATAAATGTCTAAAAAAAAGAATTAGTATCTAATTCAAGAAATTAAATTACACACACACACACATACGTTTCTTCGTTTCAATTCCCAGCAAGCATATCATTTGTAAATATAGAACGCGAACAGATTGCTCCACCATTTGACGTCACGGTCCTCATAATCTTCTTCCTGTTCTAAGTTCACCGCCCACGTTTCATATACGAGGAAAACACCCTTACACACACACACACACACACACACACACACAGAGTGTGCCTTTTGGACTTTTAAATAAAAATTTTCCTTTCCTTATTTTGTTCACGCGGAACAAACTTAGGTCAGCTGCGAATACGATTTCTCTTTATCTAGCACACACTCGAGTAATACGGTTCCCCGCGATATTGTCATCTTATTGTCGATGCACATTGCGCAAGTTTAAATTCGATTTACATACAGTTACCATAACTGGATTCTGGCATATTGTACAGTGTTATGCAATATGTGGGGCAAATGTATCGTAGGACAAAAATCATGCAGCAATACGATGAACGTTATATTAATTTTACGAGCCATTTTGTGGGAAAGTTTTTCACAATTTGAAGTTTGAATTCTTGATTTTCGATTCTTATGAGAATATTTGGAAATGTTCATTACCTAGTAGGGGAAAATTTCATTTTTGTGAGGAGATTTTTTTACAGTTAAGAGCATAAATTCCTGATATAAACATATTTACAGATTATATATTTGTAAAAATTTACTAAAGGATGCCTACAATATGTGGCTGATATTGTAATTATTTGATTTATTTAAAATCATTGAATATTATTTCTTCGAGAGTTAAAAGAATATAAATTTTATTTCATTTTTTAATATGGTAATTGATACTTCGGTAGCTTAATAATTTATTGTTGATTATTATATCTGACAATTTTCTTTTTTTATTCAATTGTTCATGCATCTACCTTGAATATTGCAATAATAATTTTTATAAAAGGAACTTTATGAAACAGTAATAATAATTATTCTTTGTAAAACTTTGTCGAACATTACTAACAGTTCTAGAAGTTGAGGATTCAAACACAGATTGTCAATTTTTCAATTTTCGTGCATGAAATGTGACGTGTCAAGTACCTTTGATACTTGTTTACATCTTCGTATTGAAATTGATTTGTGTATAAGATATAACGTCTTAGGCACGTACACTACATATTTACATATTTAAGCACATCTGCGTGCGTGCGATACGAACAGTGACACGATTTAATTTTGACGCGTCTTCGCACCTTGTCACCGCTCCTCCGTAATTGCATTCTCTGGAATTTCCAGGATAATCGCGCCTTCGTAAATATGCAAATCTGACGCGTGCCCCTCCGTCGTTGTAATGTCTTTGATACTCGAAATAGTGGAGAACACTCGAGAAAATACTTGCCAGATTACACTTCGTTGGCAGTGTTTCCAAATGAAATTGCAGTACATATTCAATCGTCGGTCGGAGAAAAACGCGTTTTGTCTGAAGAATTTCCATTGCTCCCTGGTCTTTGTTTCCTGTCAATTAAAAATGACTCGCGGAGAGAAATTCGTTTAACGTGGCAGATCGTTTCAAGTGTTTCGCGAAGTGTTTTTCGTGTGTGATTGACTAAATGAGAAGCATCAATTTTTAATTTTATGTTTTCTGAAACAAAAAAGTTGCTGGGTGAAAGTTGACAAATGAGCAACGTAGCACACGGATTTTCGAAGATTTTAATTATTATAAAAATGGCAACATTTTTTCCCGAAGTGAAGAACAACTCTCACCGATGCAATTCAAATGTCTTATTAAAAAAAAAAATCTTATAAATTCAAAAAGATTGTGTAGCAATCTCTCGTCATTGTAACATTTTATAAAATTTCGAAAACTTACAAAAAGAATTTTTATCTTACTTTTCAACTTCTCACACGTTATTTACACGCAGTAAATTATTTGGATAAAGAAATAAATGAAGTGTAAAATATTCTTGTATAACTTTATCCACATAAAAGATGTGAAATTGATCGAGTCCACCATGAGATAAATGCTTAACAATTTCTTCGGAATACTTTATGAACGTTGATGTCGAGTTTGTCAGATATTTTTCGCCACCCCGAACGCAACTTGAAACTGCGTTAGGAAAGTTTAAAATCGTCAAGAAACTTTACTCTCCCTTCCATCGTCGTTGGAACTTTCCTCCTTATTGCATTTCAGCCCGAAAAATGGGATGAGCAGCTCAATATATTACGAACGTTGCCTTCGTCGACATTATATATTCTTTCATTTTCTGCCAGAAAATTTTTCATAATCGAGTTCGTGTTGTTCTTTTATCTTCGCTTTAATTGAAGGAAAATAATACAATTCCTAAAAAAGAGGAGTTTTCTTTTAATATAATATTTTTATTTGAATGAATGAATATTCTTTCATTATCTTTATTCGAGTATGAACATGTAAATCTTTAATCTGAAAATTGGATATATTAGGCCGTGAATGTGAAAAAGTTTGCTTTATGATTTTTAAATTGTATCAGGGGAAGAAAAACGTGTGAGTAAGAATTCACATTATAAAGCCTTGGTAAAACGTTTTAGATATTTTTCCTGCAATAGATTTCTACACAACAGTTACATTAAATAGCAGCATTCGAACGCATAAATTAGTAATTTATCAACTTCACGAAACGTTCTAACTATTATTGGAATATAACTAAATAAACAGCGAGTTTTTTTGCAAATTTATGATTTTGCGAAACTAATGGAAAAGTCGATTTGTTTCGACTACTTTTTTTTTTATCGCATTATGTCTTCTCAAGCACTCTTTTTTTTTTATTAGAATATTTCATTTACGAAAAGCATGGAATGTACAAAAGATTATGAAACTGTATCGATCATGAATCGACTTTGATATATATTTTGACAACGTCAATCGAAATATAATATCCATTTCCAATTGCATAAACGCGAAGAGGATTAAATACTGTACCAGACACAGATGTATTTTGAACATTTTATGTATTCTACGGACTTTCGTATCTCTAAATATCTCGCATAAAAATCCAGAATTTAATCTCTCTGCCCTTATCCCTCGGATTCTCCTCCACCAAGCAACTCAAACAAATCTCAGATTGGAATGAGAATCTCACCCATCTTCCAAAAAAAAAAAAAAAAAAAAACGCAAAAAACGCCTGTAAAATTTTCATTATCCAACAGGTCTCGAGCCAGAAAACTTTTCGTATTAACACGCCCGTGCACCGCAGAACTTCGAATCGAACGCGAGCGTTTCAAAATGAAGTAGAAAATAAAGTGGCTGACAGAGAGGAAAAATCGGGGCCGGTGTCGAGCCGATTGTACGATAATTTTGAAATCGGGATCGAGGCCAGTGCACGACGAAGACCGCGAAGAAAAACAAAAGCGCAGGATGGAAGGAGGAGGAGAGCGCGAAAAGCGGCGGGAAATCGCTAGAGAGAGAGAGAGAGA